TTGGATGCAAGCAAATCTCCAATGACTCCTAACTCCGGGAGCTCAATCCACTGTGCCAATCCTGTGAAATCCAGCGAATAATCTTCGTGATCTCTTCCTACAATCATCAAATCATTTTCTCCCGCCACCAATCTAACGGTGGTGGCCACCGCAGGTCCACCGTTGACGATCTTCTCCGTGTAGTTAAAATTGTTAGCGAGTGAATATGTTGCTTTCAAATCATTCAAGACCTCGTCATCAACAAGGTAATCCCAATTCTTGGACTTATCTAGTTCTTTACCCGACAAAAATCTGATCACAGTAAGACATACTCTCGAGTTCTGTCCCATCCATTTCGCAAGCGAGAGGGCCTCGCGATCATCTTTACCACCAATGAAGATCACACCAACGTTAATGATACTATTTTTCCTTTTCTTACTTTTATTATATCCTCGGTAATTGAGTACGCCGATAGAACATGGAGCGCGGTCGAGGAGAGAATCATTCACTTGTCTGATCATAATATCGTCTGATTCATATACTCCATCGGGTGACCATTTTCGTCCCGAAGGGACGATGATCATCGATGTAAGGTGGTCTAAAGCAAGATTGCAAATGTCTTGATCCATTAGATCCTCATGAGAATAAGCTGTGTAGGAACTAACAGTCGTAGATTCCCAATTATCTTGTTGAAACTCGGTGAACGCGAGCATCATTGTTTGGATGTAAGAGTTTTGAAGCAACCGCGCTTTAGACCGCTTGTCATGCGGTATCAACATAGGAAATGTACGTCCGGCGAGTTTCACTAGGTGTAACGCTGTGACAGCTATGACTCCTCTGTCTTTGTCATCGTTTTTTAGCGGCGAGGAAAGCAATTGAAGCAGCGAAATCGCGCCTGAAATGTTGTCCGGTTTGTGCAAACAAGTTAGAATCTTGAGATCTGAGTTTGTTTTCAGATGCATAATGTCTCTCTTGACGTATCCAATATACTTCCTCTTTGGATCATATAGTGCTTTCACAATAGTAGGCAAAATCCCCGCGTTCAATAGCACGTAAACAATCATGACCGTGTACGTTGCTTTCGAAAAATTCTGTGAAAAAAACATTCATGCACCCATTAGTTCTAAACCATAATGCTATATATATATATATATATATATACATGTAGAGTGGGTTAGATAAAGATTACATTACCCTTCTTTTTAAGGCGACATCGTAGAAGCATAAGTCGACAAAACCCTTATAGTTCATGATAGTGGCGATGATAACGGATTCTCTAGTAGGTAACTCACAAAAGATCAAGCAAGGTACAAAAGAAGCAGTCCATTTAACGACCACTGTAAGACCCAGCAGAAATATGTTAAAGGAGATGTCATCGAACGAATACAATGCCCTTAGAATGTCACCTTTCATCGTCATGAGCGCGATTGAAATAGGGAAAAATATATTTGCAATCAAGCTCTCGAACCTTGCCTCTAACGCAGATCCCAGAGGCGGACCGTCTGGGATCGCCAACCCCACCAATAAAGCTCCTAAAACGTACATTTGGTTGAAAACACTTGTGTAAATACTCGCGAAGATTGCAGTCAGGATTGTTACGTATAAGTAGACTTTCCGGACGGGCTTGCCTTCTGGAGTCATGTCGACTATTCGTTGTGCCATTGGCTTTACAATGAATATGATCACAAGGACTAAGATGATCAATGCCACTAAGTCACGGTTGGCTATTCTGGGTGATGCGTACCTGCAGACCGTTTCAAACTATTATAGCAAATAATGTTCTTTAGACAGTAGATACTAAATTACTAATCAGACACTCCGGTTCCGTCTATTGTTTAGATAACAATTAGTTTTTTTTTTTGTTGTAAAATTGTATTTAGAATATATCATGCGATGGAATAGACCGATTAATTTGTCATCTAGAAGAAGTAGACAATAAAACGGTAAACTTTTTGTTTGATTAATTTTTTAACAAGTTTTAGAGTGTTCATATTTTCTTTTAAGTCTCCGGATTTGTATATTTATTAAGAACCATACTTAGGTTTACCCCTGGGGTGAACCTTTAAATTCACCCAACAGATTATATAGCCAATCGTTTTGCCATGTCACTACTAATACTAGAGAATTAAAAAAAAAACACAAATAAAAAAAAAGGAAATCAGAAAATAGATTTAGGGTTTAGGGTTTAGGGTTTAGGGTTTAGATTTTACAATTAAAACGAAATTAGATGTCGGTTTGGGTTGCCAAATGAGTGGTTAAGGTTTAGATTTTATAATTAAAACGAAATTAGATATCGGTTTGGGTTGACAAATGAGTAGTTAGGGTTTAAATTTTACAATTAAAACGAAATTATATATCTGTTTAGGTTTGTGAAATATTTGTTATATAAACCCTAAACCCTAAACCCAAATCCTAAACCATAAACCCTAAACCCAGCGGTGAACAGATATATAATTTCGTTTTAATTGTAAAATTTAAACCCTAACCACTCATTTGTCAACCCAAACCGATATCTAATTTCGTTTTAATTATAAAATCTAAACCATAACCGCTCATTTGGCAACCCAAACCGACATCTAATTTCGTTTTAATTGTAAAATCTAAACCCTAAACCCTAAACCCTAACCGATATCTAATTTAGTTTTAATTATAAAATCTAAACCCTAACCACTCATTTGGCAACCCAAACCGACATCTAATTTCGTTTTAATTGTAAAATCTAAACCCTAAACCCTAAACCTTAAACCCTAAATCTATTTTGTGATTTCCTTTTTTTTTAATTGTGTTTTTTTTTTTTTTAATTCTCTAGTATTAATAATGACATGGCAAAACGATTGGCTATAATCTGTTGGGTGAATTTAAAGGTTCACCCTAGGGGTAAACCTAAGTATGGTTCTTTAATTAATGAGGTAAGTAATTTTTTATTGAGGATAATCTTGATATCAAAATTTTATGCGAGTGCACCAATTAAATTCATAAATCGACGTCTTGCATACCTGTATGTTCCTACGTAGGAGATGCATACTAGAGTGATTAATCCAAGGAAATCGCTGACGGCAGCGGTAGATATGGCGATGCGGCCGAGCTCGGAGTTTGACATCTTGAGCTCATATATGAGGTGGGTTATGACCGGTAACAGCGTTACTGCTTGAGCCGATACAATCACGCTGCGTTCTGTTGGGGCCAGCCTCAGAGGCATATAAAGAGGGTCGACCTTGTCGAGACGGAAGTTTCTGAAGGCTAATCCACTGATCATAGTCACTAATAAGGACGAAACCGCGATTGTTATCGGCCGTTTACCGATTTTATACACCGCTCTCTTGTTGGTCTTCACGCCCATCAAGAACGTGAACATTACCAACCCAAGCCTGGCCACACCTTCCAACGCTACGTTTCCAGGGACGTCTAACGATAACCGGTCTGATGAATACTCCAGAAGATCAATCAGCTGAGGTCCCAAAATAAAACCGGCCTAGTTTAAAAACCAAGAGACTTGTTACTTGCGGTACAAGAAACCATGCGCTTAGTACTTGCGATACAAGATATTAACATTTTCTTAACTTACAAGCATGTTGGAGACGAACTGTGGTATGCCAATACGTCTGAGGAACATATGAGATAAGACGATGGAAACGAAGATGAGAATGATTTGCAGCTCAAGGAGAGGCAATGCATATCCGAAGATAACAGTCGGAGTTTCATATTTTTCCATGATTCCATAAGAAGAGATGTTGTAAAAAGTCGCTCCGTAACAAATTTCAGCTTTGCTATGAGGCGGTGAAGGCGCAGGAGCTAGTGCTTGAGAATCGGTCATGATGATGACAAAGATTTGTCAAATTTGTAAAAGATCGATTTCGTTTTTTTTTGCCTGACAATTTCTTCTTAACAAAAAAATATTCAACAACGTAACTGTTTGTTTAAAAAAAAAACAGTTGTTGTTTCTCAAATAGTTGTTGCCCCCTTTGACCAGTTTTTGTTTTTGAAATAATTTTGTTACGTTTTGAGCTGTACATATATATACTTATCAACAAATAAATGATACTTAGGCAACTCTAATCCTGTTTTCTAGTCCTTTCCTTAAACTAAACCATTTTGTTTGACCAAAAAAAAAAAAAAAAAACTAACCCATTTTACCCAATACTTATCTTTTGTAACAAACCCAAAAGATGAGCCCAATCTAAGCCCATTGAAGATCAAATATTGAGTTCGACACTAGCTACTAATCTAACACAAGAACTTAGCCCACAACTCTAACACTACTTCAAACTTTAAAAAAAAAAAAAAAAGTTTCTACAACTTATAAAGTATCCGATAGTGTTTTTAGTAGGATATAAAAGAGTGGACCCAAAGATTGAGTCATCAAGTGGGAGGATCATATTCATATCCATTATCCAATCCTATCCTGTTTGTGCTTTTTAAAAGACAGGAGATGACATTGACCCCACCACAAAACCTTGTTCTTGGTGACCCGTCAAGTCGCCAACTGAATTGAATCTTATTAAACCGAGTGTTTCCTACGTTATTAACTTTCAATTATTACACAAATCTTGTTCTTAATATAATATAACTTTCTAAAAGAAATCAAAGTTAATATATAACTTTCTTCCCAAATTTCTGAAACATAGTTTTTTAGTGCATAATACGAATGAATTTTCTGATATTTCAATCCATCGTGAGGCCATAAACACTATTCCAATCTCTTTTCGTTTTCATTTTCATTTTATCTCTAGGTTTCTCATTAATTAATGGTTATGAAATGATTATTGGCTCTGACTAATGAACCATTTCTAGAGTAAATTAAATTTTTTTAATTATGTATTCTTCTAATTAATTCTTAATTAGGACTAAACAGTAAACAAATGGAAAAATATTTCAGCTATATTAAGTACAAAATTTATATTTACCAAAAAAAAAAAAAAAAGTCAAATTTTGTTGATTAGGCAAAATAAAAATCTGGCGTGTTGCCGAGTCATCTCACTCATCTTTCATATAAATAAACCTGATTGCTTTTTCGTCTGTGCAACTTCTTCCCCTGTTTCTGAGTTCTGATTACCAAACGTCAATATACATTTCTTCAAATTACGTTTCTTTTTAAAATCTCTCACTCTCCAAGAATTTCATTTCTGGGTCTATATCGGATAGGGTTTGTTTTGAAGTAAGAAAGATCAAATCTTTAAGTAAAAATGGAGATGGGTTTCCATGAAAATGAGCAAAATCAAGAATTTTCGAATCTAATGGAGATTGGATCTGGGCATTACGGGTAAAGAACATTTTTTTGTGGTTTTGAAGCTAAAGTTTCAATCTTTTTTAGTTGAATTTGATTTTGATTATCTATATGTTTAGGTGCTCACATTATAGAAGACGATGCAAGATTAGAGCACCATGTTGTGATGAGATTTTTGATTGCAGACATTGCCACAACGAAGCTAAGGTATTAACTATTATTTAAAGGAATAGTCTTTATCTTTTTTCACTTCGATTTGATTTTAAAAGTTTGTACTTTTACTTTATTTCCCTGGCTTTGTAACTTGTGTGTGTGTGTTTGTATGTTTTTGTGAAGAACAGTTTTAGTTATATATGTGAAGATTATATAGCTAATGTGTTCTGTTTGTTTCAACAGGATTCTCTTCATATTGAACAGCATCATAGACATGAACTTCCTCGGCATGAAGTTTCAAAGGTTTTAAAGTTTGAACATTCTGGTTTCTGAACATTTTGATTCTGTTTGTTCTTTGTGATAACATTTTTGGTCTTGATTTGTTTTTTTTTTCAGGTCATATGCTCTCTTTGTGAGACAGAGCAAGACGTGAGTATTGACATTTCTGATATACAAATTTTATTGGTGAACATGTTTATTGATGTAGTAGAGCTGTGATTGTTTTCTTCAGGTCCAGCAAAACTGCTCCAACTGTGGTGTCTGTATGGGGAAGTACTTCTGCTCAAAATGCAAGTTCTTCGACGATGATGTAAGTTTTGTTATCGAGTTATTGCTCTTTTAATAGCTGGAATTTGTAGTAATGAGACTCTATGTTGGTTGTTTCAGCTTTCCAAGAAGCAATATCACTGCGATGAATGTGGGATTTGCCGGTATAGATTCACTTTTAAACTAGCATTGTGATTTGTGCTTACCAATTCAAAAAAGAATCTATTGATTTTGGTAACTAATTATTGATATGTTATCTCATGATGTTGGTTTAATAGGACCGGAGGAGAAGAGAACTTTTTCCATTGCAAAAGATGTCGTAAGAAACAAAACTTCATGTTCTTGTTTCCCCAAATGCTTGGTGCCTTTCTTTGTTTGGAGATCTTATTTTGTTTTCTTGGAACAGGATGTTGCTACTCCAAAATTATGGAGGACAAACACCGATGTGTTGAAGGTGCAATGCATCACAATTGCCCGGTTTGTTTCGAGGTACAAGAATCAGATTCACCCCATTTCTTAATGCAAACGTAATGGTGTCTTGGTACCAGGTTTCTTACAGTTGGACTTGATTTTTTGGATGTATCTGTTCTCAGTATCTGTTTGATTCCACAAGAGATATCACGGTCCTACGATGTGGTCACACTATGCATTTAGAATGCACGAAAGATATGGGTCTACATAACCGGTAAAAGAACTCTCAAATCTTTTTTGCAACTGATGAAGGAAGTCATTGATAAACAAATGTTAAAGGATTTTCTTGATGCTTTGTGTAGATACACATGCCCTGTATGCTCCAAATCCATATGTGACATGTCCAATTTGTGGAAGAAACTTGATGAAGAGGTAAGGTGTCTTGAACATCATGTTCGATATCCTTATATAGTCTCTCTCATGTTCATTAAGTCTTACATTAAAAAATTTGCAGGTTGCCGCATACCCAATGCCAAAGTTGTATGAAAACAAGATGGTAAACAAAATGAAAATCGATATCTCATTTTCGTGTGTGTGTGTGTTTGTGTTATGTACACTTTCTGATATGGATTGAAATGTGCATCATGTGTTGAGTCAGGTATGGATTCTCTGCAATGACTGTGGCTCAAACACGAACGTTCGGTTTCATTTAATCGCGCATAAATGCAGTAGCTGTGGTTCCTATAACACAAGACAGACGCAGAGAGGCTCTGATAGTCACTCTTGCTCCTCTGGAATGCTTCAGGTTGTTGGTTCAACTGGTTAATTAATTCTTTAACCAGAGCTGGTTTTGGTGTCTAAATTTCCCAAGAGGAGATTATTTGTACTACTTTCTATACTTAAAGATCATCAGTCAATGCCTCCGGTTGTTTATATCATTACATATTCAAAAGCTGCTTTGAGCCAATCCTACTCGCAAGTCTAGACCATTATAGCCACATAGCCCAAAATAAAACAACCATCCGACTTCACTATTTTGATTCTAACCTGCTAAATAATATATAGAAAAAGGTAAATTACTCCATGAGTGGACTGTCTATTTATTGACACTCCTAAACTTATGTTATTTACATGGACAAGAAGATCCGGCTCTAGATCTTCAGGACCTACCCGAACCGACAAAGAAATGGCTTTTGGATCTTTTGGTTGTTGGGCTTACCAACGACTTCTCACCCCATCTTCCCCAACAACAAAATATTTAAATAAATTATCTCAAAAGTTACACTTTAATTATCACATTTCACTTACTATAGAAAAAAAATTTCATTATGAAGACAAGAACATAACATCACATTAGGAGAGAGGGAAAATGAAGCTAAAGTCTTGAGCTTTAGATTTAACATAATATCATCCCCAAATGATGGTAGAGGGAAAAATCATTGAAACCCCTAATTTAGTTTCATAATCATGGAGCCAAAACATGAATGTGAAATTGGGTTTGAGATACAAAACTCAACAACAACAACAACAAAAAAAAAAGAAACCAAACATACTAGTAGAGAAAGAAGTAAACTAGCAAACTCTCTCACTTAGTATTAACTCTTCATTGATTTAAGAGTTAAACCAGGGGAGTTTTTTTTTCTTTCTTACTTTCTCATCACTCTAAATCTAAACCCTAAATGGATCAGACTCTGTCTCCCACAATGGAGCAAAACCAAAAGCCCTAATGTACAAAAAGATCACTCTCACTTGAACCCAAAGTGAGATTACTCATGAAATTGACCTAAGTAATGGTATATTAGATGACTATTAGTACTACTTGAGTAAGAAGAAATATCAGTAGCCATAACTGTTTCGATTTCCGGTCAATGGAGAAGAACTTTCTGATACTTAGCTTCTGAATAGGATCCATCTGAGAAGACTCTTTTCCTGTTGAATTTCCCACACCCAGTGTTGACAATTGGGCATTGGACTGTGACTGGAGGGATCTCGAAGCTCTTGAGAGGCGGTGGCGGATGGCGCCATTGAGGTAATGGACCGGCTAAGAGCAGTGTCTGAAGTAAAGGTCCTGCCTTAATAACAGCCTGTAAAAGCTTACCCTTTTCAGGCAATGGTTTGTCTGGAAACAATGGATCCATAATAATCTCAGTTCCTGACACTTCTTCAAGCTGAGATGGTGGTGGATTCATGACATGATCAGTGGGTGACATAATGCTCTCCTCACAATCAGATGATGAGAAGCTCTTGTTGGATCCTAGTTGTTGAGGCTGCACTTGCTCGTCTTCAATGCTTGAAGCTCCAGATATAGGAGGAGTCATATGCTGTTGTTGCTGTAGCGAGTGATTATCGAACATGAGACGCTGACATTTCTCGAGAGCTTCGTCTCTTTCTTTGATGGTTTTGGTTATGATGTCTTTGAGATGGATCAATTGCTCATCTCTTTTCCTTATTTCTTCATAAGCAAACATCTTTGTTTGGTCCAGCTCTAGTGTTGTGTACATTAGAGACTGTCTTATTTCTTCTGTTGTCTGTAAAATGTTCAAAAGATAATCAGACACATAAAACAAAGAAACAGAGGAACCAAAAAAAAAACAGAGGAAAAAAACAGAGAACCCCTAAATGGAGCATTCACTTGCTAAGAATTTGGGTTTTGGTTAGAGAAGAATCACCATTATGCAAAATATAGATGAATCTTTAGCAAGTAGGTGTAGATTCAGGTTATACTAGATAGATCAAGAAGAAGAAAGAAAAAAAAGAAAAACCTCAAGAAATTTCTTGTTTTGACAAGACATTATGTCCCAATTTAAGCAAAATAAAAATTGAAAGAAAAGGAAAGCAAAAGCCAAAACATACCACTACTCACTCACTAGGGTTTAAAGAAATTTTCTTTTACCTTTGCGTGAGAGTAGTAAGGCCAGCCAAGAAGAGCATTACTTTGGTTCTCCATAGAATTCAACTAAAAATTGAGCTTAAAAGATCTTTTGATTCTCTAATAGAAACTGTTCGTGTGTGTGAGAGAAAGAGAATGGGTTTTAGCTTGAGGGATTAGGGAGGGAAGGAGTTATATATTAGTAAACCTTATAGTGGACTGTGCTTAAAGCAGATGGAGCTTTTTCAGGTAGCTCTCTTTCGAGTTTTCAATAATTTAAGCAAATAACTAAAAAGAATTAAAGAAATATAAAATGATGCCACATGATTGTATCATATCTTGCTACATTATTTCAACTAACCCCACTTTATCATTTACAACGCGCAAAAGTATTAAGAAAATTATTTATATAACAAAAAGATCTCAAAAAAATGAAGGACAATGTTAACTTACAAAATATAATTTTATAAACAATAGGATATAAATCAAGAGTGATTTCTGTCCCAAAACGTGTACTAAAAGTTTCAAAAATATAACTATACTTCAGGTCTTTTTGCAAATCATTCTTATACTTTGTTTCATGTATAATTCTTGTACATTAAACAATATTTAATTTTTTGAAGTGGGTGTATCTTTTTTAATATTTATTTCTATAGTTTTTGCCTTTTTCTTTTTCTTTTTTTCCTTCTTTTGCCGTAAGTATTTGGTGGGAGAGAAGACCTTAGACCAATATCGTAGTTTACTGACTTTGGTCTCACTCACTCACATTATAGTCTCTCTCAACTCTTTAAAAGTATTTTGTTTTCTTCTTCGGTTTTCTTGGGATGTGCAATTACATATCTTGTCTTTATACAAGAAAAAATCGAGTAGCACCGAAAAGAGCGGGAACGAATGCTTCTTCAAACACCGTTTTTCTTTTGGTTTTTGTGTATATAAATCAAAGAAGCATAGAGTCAATGCTAAGTGGATTCCATGGTCAGCAAAAGAGGCAAGTAACCAAACTTTTCCCACCAAAATGTTGAGAAAAGTTGATATGGAATCCCTTTTTCAATTATTAAATCGATCACTACTCGTGGAAAAAAAAAAAAAAATGCTCTCACTACTCACATTCTCGTTCACAAATGTCACGTGAAAATTACAAAATAAACAGCTCAATTTCTTTTCTTTTTCAGTGGATGATATAAACATCGTTAGATCATAGCCGTGAGAAAGAAATACCTATCGTCGGTTTGTAATATTATAGTCAGTACTAGGGTGGCGAAAAATCAATTTTAATCTCTTAGGTAAAAATTTATAATCAATATTCTTAAATACTTTGTTGAAAATGATTTATTGACTTTTACTGCAAGTGGAAGTAAAGTGAATCTCCATATTTGGTTTGCTAGGCTGCCTGGGCATGTGTTAAGTGATAATCATGATGGTGATACTCCAAATATTAATATATATACTAATTATGAAAATGTTATCCATTAAAAAGAGTGTAAAGGATTCACTCTTTCAACAATATGCAGATGAATATATATTCAAAAAGAAAAAGCAAAAAAAAAGGGATTTCCAATAGTAAAAGTAGGGAGACAAGAGTTATCATTTCATGGTCTCTTTCACCAGCAATAATCTAAGAGCATGTCAAGCAAACCTTTGTATTTCTACTTTTCTTTTTATTGTGTTGAATATTAAGAGCTTCGATTTTCGGTGTGCATTGTCACGCACAAACATATCTAATGTAGCTTTGTGATTTGTTGTGCTTACTCGCGATTTTTATAACCTATAAGCAGGGCGGCTCAATTAATTTGGAGTTCTTGTACAAATTTTAAAAATTAGCCCTTTCTTCATACAAAAAAAAAAAAAAATTGGGACTTTTTCATAATAAATAAAATATTTGGGTCTTTTTCATGCTAAAAATATCTTAAATTTTTAAAAATTACATTTTTTCATACTAAAAAAGAAATTTGAACCCTTAAATTTACCAAAAAAAAATTGGGTCATGCACATTTGCTCCTCTTGCGCACCCCTAACGCCGGCCGTATAAGGCTAATAGTGTATAATGTATACTAGAAATCACTCTTAAGTAAAATAAGACCAACTAAATATATGTGAGCCAATAGTATTAAGTACGTAGAAGGGTTTAATTAGTACAACAAAGTTGCGCAACCAAAAAAGTCATAAAATTCAGTTTTGAGTTAGATATAAATAAGCATTGACAGATATTGACTTCATAGATCTCTATATCACTTATTCACTTATGATTATGAATGTGATGACCCAATATCCAATATCTAGTTATGCCTTATGAATATGATCGTGTTGGCAATATTCACAACAAAGATAATGCAGGATAAGAGCTAATTATACGAAGCCACAAACATGTGAGCTATCCATAAATGCACAGGACATGCTTTGCTTTCATTCTTCACTGTCATTATGAATTGAACAAGTTTGTGTGCATATTAGTTTTATCCAAATAATTAAGAACCTTAAATTCCATATTAAGGGAAACCAGGTTGTTTATTTTGTCGGCCAATAATTCAATTCCTCATGATAGAGAAAGTAAGAAACAAGCAAAAACGAATTTACCGTTGTGGCAGTTAAAAGAAAGATTCAATCTGATTTTTCCATATATGCCTTTTATAAAATTACGTATTTAAGTTATAAATCTTTATATGATTTTTTTAAAATTTCATCGTACACGGCATCATAATTTATACCTAATAAATATTCCAAAAATCGTATGTTAAACATTTAGCATGCAGGACCACAATAGATTATTGTCAAAGTCGGTCCGTCATGTTTTTCATTGTGAAGTATAAAATAATTATTTGGACGTAAGAAAAAAATCTTCGAATGACAATGAATTAATTGACACATATCAATATATCATCTAATAATTTAGGTTTCCTTTTACTTTATATCTGAATATTGTGTTTTTTTGTGTGTGTGTAAAGTCTATGTATATTGTTTTGATGGTTCTAGAATGTGGACTTCGACGATCCTGAGTGTTTTTGATACATAACTTCCAGTTGTTTCCCAGTAAGCGCACAGAAAAATTCGACCGCATTACATCAGAAGTTCTTTCAGTTTTTGTTTTTTTCTTGCGTGTGTCATGTGTTTATACAATTTTGTTGACTAATTAGCCCATCACACATTGTCTAACCATTTTAGTCGTCTCGTGTTTGAAAACATGAAAAACGAAAGCTGAAAAACTTAGAATATAGAAAGGTTTCAGTTTACTCGAAGTTAAATGGATAAAAAATTTTGTTTCAAAAGGGAAAATGTCATAAATTGCATTGTGCAATCATTTATTTGTATCGTAAAATATAACTACTCAGAGCATCAATAACGTTGGTATGCTATGAGATTTCTTAAAAGATAAAAAGTAATAATATTTTAATTTTGCAATTATATTCTAATATTTTAATATAAATAGACCGAGCTATACGTGTTTTTAGTTTGTAAGAATGTCTCTTATGTAAGAGCTTTTAGATCTTCTCTGTCTTCCTTCTCTTAACTTTTTATTATTTTTCTTTATTTTTATTGTTAAGAGTTATACTAAGAAACTCACGGTTAATGGTGCTCTCACAATCCTTTAATAATAGTATAGGATTACGGAAAGGGAAAATAAAAGGCTCTTGTAAATTAAAAACTGTTTTGTGACATTTCAGCCGAAGTTTTTGTCCCTTTCGTTCTTTTAGTTTAAGACTTTGAAAGGTATTTAAGCCATATCAGAGATGTTAAAGCCCAATACCCAACTCATGGGCTTCTTAACCGATAGGACCATTCTGACTAGACTACTGGTTCAAATTCAATTGGTTGGAGTTTTAGAAACAATAAAATGTTTAGAACACTTTCGGTCCAAATATTGACTATGGGTTGCAAAGTCCTTCAAGGCCCATTTTGTTGGCGTTGAACTAAGAATCAGATATTTAAGTAAGTAATCTTTAGAAAGTTTGTTTTTCTTTTTGTGTGTTTTTTTTTCAATTGTATTTGTTTTGATGACTAACCACATTGGACACGCTTTCAGGTCACGGTTTAGAAGCACTTGTAGAGAACAAAAAAAACGGTTGATATAAAAATGTTTTTTGTTAAAAGGGTTTTCTATTTGTTAATAAAAGATATTGGAGTGGCAGATTTAGAGTATAAAACATAATGCCTATAGCTTCTTCCTTCTGATTTAAGTCTAAGCGACCCCCTTAGGCCCTTACCAAACATATTGCTTCGACTGTAATATTGAATATTTCTACAATAATAATGTATGTACGTAGTATATATAGAGAGAGAAACAATTTTAATCTATATATAATAGCAATCTAATAAATACCATTTGCACATCTGAACGGTTGCGTCTTTTTATCGCAACCTTTCGTTTAATTTGGTTATTTTTTTATGGTTATGTCTTTTTATTGAATTTTCTCTTTGATTTTCGTTGAATTATTTACGGTTATATTTGTTCAATTACAGTCGTATCTTTTCAGTTTACAGTTATATCTTTATAGTTGCATTTATTCATTTAAAGTTACGTCTTTCCATTATATAATTTCATTGCATTTTTTGTATAGTTAGTAATACTAAGAAGTTTTTTTACATCAACCATTAGACTACATATCAAATTGGTTTTATTAACCAAAATAACAACCTCAATAAATGCATTTTGCACTTCTGAACGGTTGTGTCTCTTTATCGTAACTTTCCGTTAAAATATTAACGGTTATTTTTCGGGTGTATTTTTTATCGCAACTCTTCATTAAAATATTGACGGGTTTTTTTTTCGGTTGTGTCTTTTTATTGCAACTTTCTGTTAAAATATTGGTTGTTACTTTATTCGTTTGTGTCTTTTTATCGCAGCTTTCCGTTAAAATATTGACGGTTATTTTTCTCGGTTGTGTCTTTTTATCGCAACTTTCCGTTAAAATGTTGATGGTTATTTTTTCTCGGTTGTGTCTTTTTATCGCAACTCTTCGTTAAAATATTGACGGTTAATTTTTTAGTTGACGGTTATTTTTCGGTTGTGTCTTTTGCTCGCAACTTTTCGTTAAAATATTAACGGTTACTTTTTTCGTTGACGGTTATTTTTTTGGTTGTATTTTTCTCGCAACTTTCCGTTAAAATATTGACGGTTACTTTTTTCATTTCTGTTTTTTATAATAACTTTTTGTTAAAATATTGACGA